TTTCCATCATATTTCTTTTCTATATTCTCTTAAAATAATCTTGAAAATATCTAAACTTTTCCAGTAACATTCTAAGAGTTCTTATCATTAACTCTTGAAATCTCTTATAAATCACTCTTCAATCCCACAACTCCCTCAAATTGGTAATAATTCCCAAGAATTGGCTCAATTTTGTGTCCATTTTTCTCTATGAAATTCTAAAAATATTCTTAACAATTTCCTTGGTACACTCTTCAGAATGACCGTCACACTCTTCTCAGACTTATCCGATAATTCAATTCCCTTTGAAGTGCTTTGTAGGTAAGGTTACAATTGGTTTGAAATCCTTTTCAGTATTACCCAAGTACTCAAGTACTTTGCCAAAATGGTTTTGAAAGTCTTCCAGAAATTGCACTTTAATTGTTAGTAAAATTAATCTCCATAGAAACATTGGAAAGAATTCCATTGAAATTGTTCTCGCGATTCGTATCAGCATACTCCTTAAGTTTCATGATAAGAATTTTCTATGATTTATTTTCCGGATTGAAATTTACTTTATTGACAAAATCTCCATGCAATTGTCATCAGAGTTGACAAGACAATTGACACCGTCTTCAACCAGAGGTTGCACAGACTGAATATTTAACATTAAACAACGGAAAACACACCACACCCATTACCATTAGAACAGTAGGCAAATTTTGAGGTTGCCATAATTTGCCCCGGCTGGAGCGTGAATCGAACCCTCACTTTGTGGCACTCACAATACGCCTAAATGATGGGTGACGCCGCACGACCCCGAACCCCAAAAAAAATGGATGTAATTCTACTCAGAAGTAGCTTGAAATTCTCCTTTGATTTCACAAAGAATTCGCCTCACACTTAAATGTGAACTATTTTCAGAATTACCTTAAAATTCCAATAATGTCCAATGTTGATGGCCTTTAATAATTAAAGTAGCAAATTTGGCTTTTTATTTTTTTTTATTAGAGGAAAGAGCAAATTAAAAAATCTGGGAAAATCTGGAACATATTAAAAAAATCTGGAAATATACGTAGTCTGTCTGTCTATCTGGCAAGACGACTAAAAATCTGGAAAATCCAAATAAATCTGGAATACGGGCAACGCTGATCATAGGTTACTATTTTGGTCACACCTCAGAAAACAGATTAAATCACAATATTCGTGCATTTTGTGGTCAAAATGTTTATATACACAGTTGAATATGATTTGTACCAACAAACTGAACGCATCTGAACATCTCAAAATTGTAAACGTGAAATATCGTCAAAAGGTGGCCAAAATAGGAACATGGCCAATACTGGTTCCTATTCAAAAAACATCGGTTCGAGAGTCAGAAATTGGCGATTCAAAGCAAAGCCAAAACTGGTCATGCAACACCTACCCAAGCAACACAGAAAACATCTCAATTCTTTTATTTTTTTATTTAAGTTGCCCAAATATCCTTTAAATGGTACAGGAAATACATCTTGATACGACTAAGTTTCAACATTGATGCTTCATTTACTTCAGGTCTCAATAATGAAACTCAACTGTTTCAATGTACTGCTTGGATGACCTGTCAAATCATGCCTCAAATGGGAGGAGCAAACATTTTACACTCAAATTGCTACGTGATGTTGTATGAAACACTTGAGCAACAAATCTAACTTGTGTTGTGTTTGTTGAATGAGAGTTCCATAAAACATTATGTTTCTTAAAACTTTGGTGCAACATAGTATGAACTATATGTTTTTTGTACTAATTGAGCAACTGTTTCGAAATGCTACTAAAGAGTTGACGAACCAAGATGTGTTGAAGAACCTATTTGCAATCTTGTTCCAATTAAACGTATGAATCTATAAGTTTTCAAACTTCGTTTTGCAACCTACTGAATCAAGATGTCACTGTAAAGGTTTGTTGTAACCATCTGGTAACTACCATGGCTCAAATATGTCTTGTCACTTTGATGTTGTAAAATATTTTTGGACAACATTGGCAAAATCTACTAACGTTAGGTTTAAGTAATTTTGTTGTCTAAACAATGAATAACGGCTCCGCAAAGCTACAGCAAATGAGCCTGGAAAAATAAACGAATTATAAAAAAAAAAAAAAAAAAATTGGCAAAATCGGAGAAATCGTAATGTGCTAACATCTGCAAAGGAAATGGAAGACCACGACGAGGACGATAGGATTACGGATGGCGGGGGACGATGGTGACTAAAGACGATGCCAACAGCGGCTGGCGTGGCCATAGTCACTCAACAGGCCGGGTGTTCCAAAGGGCTAAAAAGAACGGTGAGAAGCCTGAGGTGACGATGGATTGGTTGTTGCGTGAGCTGGGGGCAGAAATATGTTGATACCGCCGAACGGAGATGTGGCCCTTGAGGATCCGTTAGAGATGGAGCTCGTATTTGCCGGAACTGCTGGTGAACTGGAAACGGCACCAAATAGCGGGTGGATTGCCAGAACTAGTGGCTCATAATGCTGAAACCTGATGGCTGCTGGTGGAGGAGCTGCACGGATGTCGCTACCACTCGATGCCGCATTACTACTGACAAGAAACGTTTAAAGCACGCACATACTCAACAATTTCTATGATTGTTCAAACTACGCATTTGCTACTAATTTTCAACATTACTGGAACATGGATACCATGGATAATACGTAATGGTGCAGTTATGTTGACAAATCGTTCCGGTGTTGTTGCAGTTCAATATGAATCATTGATTTTAATATCCACTCATCTGCAACGTAAAAAATACTTGTTGTAAACTTTACATGATGTCTGGAAAAATAGCTACATTATTGTAACGTACTATTTAACATGTTTGCAACAGTTCAGTGAGCTGGATTATATCTGGATGAACCGTACACTACCGGCCGAAATAATGTTACTATAATGGAGAATGTTCACAAGTATTCCAAACATTAAAAAAGTAAATCAATTCAGAGTTTTACACTTGTTAATGGTCATGAGAGGGCGTTTTGATGTGTTATCGGTGCAGGACATTAAATAACTATATTAAGCTCTCCATTTTGGTTGACTCTATTTTTTTATGGTGTAATGTTGTCCAGGTGAAGGCTTTGATTTGTATTTTGTCAAAATTTCGATAGAAATCTTTGCTTTATAATTAAGCTATTTTTTAAAGATCAGTGAATGATGACTAGATGATTATGAAAAGAAGTCTTACGGTTTGCGTAATCGACGTAGTGAAATCGACGTAGTGAAATCGCTTTAATCCTCGCGCAATAAACTGGGAGTTTGAATCCTTAGGGTTTTAAGTATGAACTGCAAGCGTTGAAATATCGATCCCATTCACTAATTATTGGATAGTAATATTATGATCGACCAAGGGGTCAAAAAGCAAGGATTTATGTATTGACCAGAAATTGATGATACGCAGCAGCTAGCTGGTATATTTATTTTGAGTTGAATTTTTGTTTCTTGTTTCCGGGAGTCATACAAGTCCCTTAACTGATCTCCAACGACCGTCTTTTGAATCCGTAACCGCTTAACTTTTCGCATTTTTTAGAGAATATTATTTAAGTCATTGATTCCAATTGGTTTAAAGGTCTTTTTTAATTTGTTTTTATTTCATTTATTTATTTTTGAAATTGATAAAAAATTATAACATTTATTTTAATTAAAAAAAATATGTTTTAGTTTATAAAATAAATTATTGCTTCAAGCAGAAACGATGACAATATCAAGGATTTAGGCTCTTGGATCGGCAATATTCAAAATAAAAGTTTTTCAAAAATCAAATAGATTTTTTTTTTTTTTTTGGAGTTCGTTTCCTATTTTGACAATGTTGGGTTGGAATCTCAAAAGATGATGAATATGAACAAACGCGTATTTGTCGATATAAAATAAACTCATTTGTACATTTCATTCGTACGTGAGAGAGAATATTTTCAAAACAAACAAAGCAGCATTAGCCATTGCGTGTGTTGGTAAATGAGAAAAACAGACACTGAGACACTGAAAACGCTTAATATAGTACAACTTTATATCCCCTCAAGAATGCCACGTCCAAAAACTGAAATTTTGGACTTAAAACATTGTTGCGGTTTGATCCACCGTTTTTAAACTTGGATGCCAATATTCGAAAAATTTAGTTTTTTTAGTGATGAAAGCACAAGTTTTAATTAACTTGAACTAAATTATGAGTACATTCTGAAAATATAATTATGGGCACTCCTTAAAAGGGGTGCACGTATGAAAAATCAGTGGAAAACAGTTTTAAATTTACAGCAAAGCACTGCCCCTTGGATTGCGTGTACGTATTGCCACTGAAAAACTGCACTACCCAGCATGCAGTCTTGGGCATATGCCTCTCCGTAGTGCCTGAATATTTCTAGTTTTCAAAGCAATAGTCAACCTTTTCCGGCACTCATTACCTTCAAACGAATCCTTATCGAAACCGCAAAAATCTATATAGGACAAAAAAAAAGTAAATATAGAACACAACCGAAATGCCACCTCGGCCAGTAAACCTCAAGTGAGCATATACATACGTTCATATTCCACTCGTTTCCAAATGCCAACCACGTCCAGTCCCACACTCGTGCTGAATCCGCAAAAGGACCTCAGCTTCAAATCAAGAAAGACGAAAAATAACCGTTGACGATCTTACCGAAACTGCCCTCCGAAGATGCTGCTGTTGCTGCTGCTGCTGTTGATGGGCAATAATAATTTTCCACAGACCAATATTCTTAAACTTTACGAGCAAGTGAGAACAGAACACACGTTTTCTGCTACCCCCTGGGTTTTATTCATCCCACCCTCCATGCGAGTTTGAACATTACGCAAAGCTCTTCTTCTACCCTCAGTTGCCGTCCGATCAGGACCAAACCTTCATCGGTCGGTCGGTCGGTCGGTCGGTGGGAAATTTGTCCGATTCGAGCGGCTCAAAACGGCGGAAAAAGGCAACATAAATGTTCACATTTTCAACGAGCATAAAAGTGGAAGGAAATAAATTACTTATGTTTGAATGGGAAAAAAGTGGAAAACTTACAGTGAGTGGAGAATTATTGCACTATTATTACACATTTATTTTTTATCTCTTCTGCGAAACACCAGCACTGGTTTTTTCTTCTTCTGTGGGATTCTTCCTCGAGGGGAGCGCTACAATCACATATACATGACACACATACCCACACACTCTTTCTTTCTTTCGCCACACTTGTACCGACTTTCACTTTCACCGCCACTTGGGAGCGCTTTTCCGCTTATGATTTGTGATTTCTTTGATATAAATTTCGTTTCACACTGCTTCCCTGTTTGGAAACTCTTCTGCTGCTTCGGCTACAGGACGCATATGCCCCTTCTTCTTCTTCCTCTTTTGCGAATTTCTTCAAGAGCCACTACTATGCACTCTCGGTCGATCTTTTTTTTTTGGACCGGGGGAAAACACTCAAAATACAAAACCTCGACTCGGCGTTATTATTTATGAGCTGTTTTTATTATTATATTGCCAAACTCATTAATATTTTCCACCACACTTAGTAATATGGACACACAGTGTGTTTTTCTCGGTTGCTTTTCACCACTGGACCATTTGCTCTTTTCCGGTGGAGAAACTGCACACAGCACAAACCACTCACACACTCCCAGTCCGGAGGTGTTTCTCGCCTTTCTCAGATGATATTGTTATTGCAACTATTATTAGAAATTATTACGCCAGAGCACGATTTTCGGATATTACTCTGCCGGCCTTTGCCCTTAGGAGCGTGTTCGAAATTAAAGCGGAAATTTCAATTTCGGTCTGGACGTGGCCAATAAATGCTATCACAATCGCACTATATCACACACTTCCTGTTTTCTTGGCCGTTCGTTCGAATTCTTCAAACAACAGTACCACTTGAGCTGGAAGGAGGAAAACCTAAATCTATCATAAAAATTCCAACACCACCGGTCAGTGCCAGGTCAGGTCCAAATCTTCGGCTTCGGTCCGTCCGGATCCGTTTTCCTGATAGATGAGGAAAACAATAAAACTTTCACCGAGCGAAGCGGAATTCGATTCCACGTGCCTCTCGTCGGGATCACTCAATCTACTCCCTCGCGGCTGGAAACCAACTCAATCTTTTTCCACTTTATTTCGGATTTTTCTGCAATTTTCTTCCTCCCGTCTTATGGCCAATGGCCCGGAAGCGGCCGAAAACTTTCCGACTACTGTCCGTCCGCTCGCTCTCAACACGTAAACTTTAAATTAAATTTGTATTTCTGCTTCAGCTGCCACTGTTCTCCTCTGCTGCTGTTTCTTCGTTTTGGGTCACAAATTTGCCAGGAATTTGCACCTTCCGCCAAGCTCTTCCCTACAGTGCACACGAAATTAAGAAAACAAGACGGGGAAATCAATTTTCACATTTAAACTTCCCACTCGGCGTCTCTTTAAGACTCTTTAAGATTTCCCGCCGTCCGTACGTACGTTTGTGGGGTTTCTCCCGGCTAGGCACGGGATGATGATTTGTATCGAGTGATTCAGTCCTTTCGAAAGGCTTTGGAAGCCACCGACTAGCGGCCAGCCGGATCAGTCAGAAGGTCGTGCGTGCGTGATATAATTTTGCGATGTCCTTTGGAAGGATAACAGTCAGTGATAACAAGTACGATTTGATATAGTTTGTTTTGCTCGAGTGCTAATCTCAGATGGATGCCGGCAATTGTCGAGCTATGGGGAACTGAAGAGTTCAACACGTATCAACACCGAGAACAGAGAACTTGTGGTTAGGCACTTTTTGATGTGATTTCTTGATTTTTTGTTGTGGCTGCAGCGATTGCTGTTGTTGATTTGGCTTGAGCTCGGTTTACGTTGATATTTGGTTTGGGTTTTGTTCTGCGAGTCCAGTCAAAGTCCCCGAAACTGAGCACACGAGTACGGGTTATAAACAAATACACAACGCTCGAAACCGAATACCGGTAAACCACACTGGGAACGGAAAAACACAACAATGACGACGACGTGCGTGCGAGCTTGCTTGCGTGACACAGACGGCCAAGTCGATGCAATGTTATATGTATGCCCGACACACGCTCACGCTCTACCGACTGTCGAGGCTGATTGTTGACTACCGCTCTAGGACGATGTGCAACCCATGCAACGCTAGCTGCTGTAGTTGCATCCTCGCCTTCCCTGTGCCGTCACTACGATCTGCGGTGAGAGCAGATCCAAAGCCGCTCGATGATTCGTACAGCCTACGCTAGCAGATGCACTATCAGATGCTTTCCAACAGTTTCACTGAATGCACACGCCGGTTCGGATGCTCCGGATTTTCAATTATCGAAATGTCACTCACGCTCACTTCAGCTTACATACACTGGCCTCATCAGAGTTTATCGATAATACACTAGATAACAACAAAGTTTCGTGTCGATGTCCTCTCCTGGTGATTTGGTTGCAATTTTGCCTCCACCTCTCATTTACTCTAAAGTTGATATTCTTTTCGTTTTTGATCCAAGATTTTGTTGATTTTTTTTCTCGTAACTTAAACTTTAACTCGTAAAGTAGATCCCTGTAATATTTTGCTCATTTCTCTTGTAAACACTTAAATTCTTTCTACGCTTCCAGTTGTTTATCCCGTCTCGAAGAGTTTCCTCTTCTCTGTTTTCGATCGCCCTAGAGTTTTGTCTTCCAAAACTATTTGCTTCCTTCGTGTTTTGGAATACCCCAAGCTGTGAGCTTTGTAGCGTAAGTTCTTTCTGGACAAACAACAAACTTATGAAAACAACTAAACACGTAGACGACAACAACGACACAACGATCACGACGACGACGACAACGATGACGATAACACACCCGTATCCTTGTTCCACGTTTCTTGCTCTGATTTCAAAACAGTTCCAGCCGGAACCATGAACCTCGCGCGTAGACTCTCAGAACATCCACCGTCTATTCTTGTGACAGCCTTGCGTCCTGTCCCTTGGTTGGGTGGTAGCTTATCTCGCTCCCCAGCGTGTTCGCTCGCTCTCCCACACACTCGCTCTCTTTCTCTCTCTCGTGCTCCAACTTCCTTCGTGGACACCGTGCGTGCTGTGGGACTCCGTATGCTGTCAGTTTACAGGACTATCAATTAGCGTTACCGGACGTCAACCACTACTACTAGTGCTACACGCAACCATCACAGATCGCTCTCTTATTCCCACACAGCAGCAGGTCAGTTACTTTGGATGTTCTGGCACGGTGACAGTCCCCGTGTTTCGTTTTGGTAAATTTCGTATCCTAAGCAAACGACATTCAAAGATTTATTTGTACAGCAAACGGAACCAAAACGATCAACATCGAAACAACAGAGATGACGGTAGGTGTGTGTATATGAGAAATAAACTGGTTTGAGCGGCTTTTGCCACAGTACTATCCGAGTACCCGCAGCCGATGATCTAATGCTTGCACGACGTCCTCCGGCACACGGTGACGTCACCGTTTTACTATGCATATATCTAGCGTCGTGAGATTCCTTCACTCACTTTCCCCAATTGCACAGCATCTCGAGAGGGACAGTCGCCACGGCGCAGGCGTTTTCCTCCACCGGGAACTCACCTATTACAACAATACCGTAACGCCACCCATCCACCCACAACTGCCTACTGGCAAGACACCAGCTTTCTCCAAATCTCTCCTAACGCGCTCTTTTCTGCCGCACTCGAACCGCGAGAAAGTGGGAGGAGGTACATAAGCCCGGACTCGCTCTCTCCTGCATTCAAAAGTCGCTCTCCGGCTTCGGGAAAATCACCCTTTCGTCCCACAAAATTACTACGCGCCTATATACAGGAAAAGCCCTCCTAACAGTTGACTGCACTCTTCCTCTTTTGCGTTCTTTTATTTTTCAAGAGCGAAAAACGCGTTCTCGTCCTCGTCGTCAATGTGGTCGTACATACCTGCACATAAAATGCTCTGACAAGTTCATATTTCTTGATTTTAATCGCTCATTTCGGTTTGTCTCGGATTGCCCTCCCTCTCTTCCTACGACGTCGTTGCTGGGGGGCTACTGCTGCATCCCACCCACCGACATCATCATTACCATACTTACATTACCGGCTGCCGAGGCTTCCGCTCCTCAATCTTAAAATAGGAAGAATCGTGAATATTTAAAGAAGACAAAACGGTATAAATATTGCTTTTATTGATCGTTCCAGCGATATCAATCTTCTTAGGTTCCCCCCGCACCTCTCTCTGTCACTCAACCATGCGCACCTTTTCCGATTCGAGCGACCTTCTTCAGCGTAAAACAAGTCACCCTTCGGGGCGATGCCATCAAGTAGCCCCGGAGGCAAACTCATTTTCGTTTCATTCATGCGATAGCTGCCTTTTCTGTCGACCTGCCTGCCTGCCTGCCCGCCTGCCACCGACGATGATCGTGATGATGGGTGGTGGTGGGGTGGGGTGGGTTTTCCGTTTCTTTTTCTTCCGTCTCCGGTTGATTCTTGAGCTTGACTTGTGACGCGGCGAACAACCAAGCGAGCGATAGGAATCGATGGATGCTATGGAGGCAGGTTGACATGTGGCCCATGTGAAATTGAATGAATTGTGGGAATTGTATAGCAGCGAGTGATTCTATCCGGTCGGTCATCGGTTGACGGGTGCGAAAAGAAGATATATCAAATGATAGAAGTATGTTTTTAGATAGGGACACAGACGTGACACTGAAGTTCAATACGCCATTGTCGATTGGTTGTATTGCGTTGTGATTTATTTGTAACGAAACGTAACTGAGAGCAGAGTTGTGAATGATTGTTCAATTTGTAAGTTTACCTACATTTATCTGATCTTGACATTCTTTGATGAGAAACACTTTCCATTAGTATAACGTAAAATTAATTGCTTCGGGTTATGCAGCAAAGAATACTGCATTGATAATGCTAATTTTAATTTTTTTTTCTCTGTTCGGGACATAAATCTACTGCGACCAGTAATTTGATCTATTGACACTTCCCCCACAATTATGGGTCACTTAAGAGGAAGGCATGAAGCGTTTATAATTAAGATATTTTACTGTTTTATTGCAATGCAAAAAAAGCTTTTTAGTAGCTAAATGTTTAATCATTTAGTTGTGCTACTTATTTTTTTCCATGTAATGTTATTTTTTCTCACAAAAAAAAAATTATTTCCACATGATTCACTGGATTACACTAGTTTACAGCATTTTTGAACTCGGTAACGTGTTGATCATTTCCAATGCAAAATCTTACGCTGAATTCAATGCCGTGGTCAGAAAAAAAATTAAAGTAGAGCCATTTTTGAGATATACAAAAGTTTTGATTTTTTGAATTTTGGACAAAAGTACGATTACTAAAATGTCAATATCTTTGGAACTAGTGCACCAATTTTAATTCTTTTTTATGAAAATTAAGCTAAATAAATTTGCTATCGTTCACTAGAATACTATGTCTTAATTAAAAATTTAATTTCGAAGTCATTTAAAAATTTACAGCATTTTTTTTTTATTTTTCCTGCGAATTTTCCATAAAAATCTTGTTTTAATCAACATTTTTAATGGGATAAAAAGATTCAAAAAATCATTCCATAATTTATTCTTAAAGTCCATTCAAAACCGGAGAAAATGAGCCTTTAATGGATGAAATCGGTTGGAAATTGTCGAAGTTATGAGCATTTTTGTAAAACACTTAAAAATGTTGCTGAAATACAACAGCTTTGGAGTTCCTTTTCTAGGTGTCGTTGTAAGCATCCAAATCGCATGTAAAGTTTTCATGGGAGATTCTTTTCTCTACATATCAATTTGATTAAGGCATATCAGGATTTAAAACCGAGTTGATACAAAAGAAATTTATTTAGGTTTTATTAAAAATGATTGAGGATCGAATGACTTTGTCTTCGATGTTTTGAACTTGTTTCTCGAATCAGAAACCAACAATAGTCACCCATCATTGCTTCATCCCAAAACCCTTGGTAACGACGTTCCATCATCTTCATTTGTTGGTGAAAACGTTCGCCGTGCTCATCACTCTCGTCACCAAGATTTTCCGGGAAAAAATCCATGTGAGAATGTAGGAAATGTATCTTCAAAGACATATTCACACCTGTGTTCAGTGAAATAAAAGGATTTGAAATTAATTATATGTAACAAACACAATATTTTTGATTTATACCTATTCTCTCATAATTTTTGAGCAATTCATCGACAACTTCCTCATAATGTGGGCTTCTGAAATTTCCTAAAAAGTTTGTGACAACACGCTGGAACGATTTCCACGCTTCTTCCTCATCTGGTGTCAAAACTGTATTGAATGCGGAATCATTGAGCAGTTTTTTGATCTGTGGGCCAACAAATACACCTTCCTTTATCTTTGCGTCAGATAAATTTGGAAATACTGATTTCAAGTACTGGAATGCCGGCCCTTCTTTTTGCAACGCTTTGACGAAATTTTTGAATAGCCCAAGTTTTATATGTAGTGGTGGAAGTATTATGCGTTCTTTTACCACAAGAGGATCATTTTTAACGTTGTCTTTACCAATTGTGAAATTATCCCGTTTTGGCCAATCTTTTCGGACGTAGTGTTCCTTACGAGCTCGACTGTCCCATTTACACAAAAAACACATATATTTTGTGTATCCCTGTTGCAATCCAGTCAACATGGCAACCACTTTAAGATCGGAACAAATTTTCCAATTGTGTTGATTGTAATTTATCAAATTGAGCAATAGAGCCATTGATTCATACGTTTCCTTCATATTAACGGCATGAGCTAATGGAATAGAAGGTTTCTCATTCCCTTGATGCAGTAAAACGGCTTTCAAGCTCAACTTGCTGCTATCGATGAATAAACGCCATTCAGCTGGATCATATGGCTCACCAAACTCTTCAAACAAGCCGTTTACGTCATGGCAAAAACATGCCTTGTCCTTTGTAGAATAATATTTGTCAAATTTCTTGTGACGATTCCTGTGACAAGAAATTTTGACCTCCTTGCTCAGCATGTTGTGTTCTTTCAAGCGTGATGCCAGCAATTCGGATTTCTCCTTCGATAAGTCGAGATCTCGCACCAAATCATTAAATTCGGATTGTGTAAACAGTTTTGGGTTTCTTTCCAATTCCACCTCGAAGTCTTCCTCGCATTCCTCCTTGAATTCCTCCTCACTTTTTGTAACGATCGATTCAACAGAGGGCGCTCGTTTCCGCTTTGGATAAACAGGATACGGGACCGAACTTGAATGTGGAACAGGTTTTGTCATAGAAGCCACTTGTGGATACTCAACTGTTTTGTGACGTCCTTGTTGCTTAACTTTTGTCAAGCAGAAATAACAATCCGTTGCATGACAAAACGGTCGACGCCATATGGTGGGCATGTCAAAGGACAAATAGCGACTGACAGATAAAAAATAAGTGAGTTAGTAAGTAAGACATTAACACTTATCAAAAATAGATGAAGTAAGATAATGTCGATCAGGAAAGAACAAAGCACTACCATGCTGTACATAAATTGTTTATATGAAAGTTATTCAAAAAATCAATTTACCTTGCGCCTGACATCCACCTAGCCAAGCACGTTTTGCACGAACAACATAATACTTTTGGAATCCACGGTTCGTCAAAGTCTCCAGGATCAATTTTAAAATAAAGCCTGCATGCAGTTTGCAACGAAGCAGTGAAATTGACCGATTTTGTAAATATATAGTTGCCACACGCGTAACAAAACTTTTGAGGATCATTTTTACACTTGAATTCACGTTTTGTCGTATACATCGTTAAGCAATGTTGAAGAAAGAAAGCTGTCAAATTGAGTTGGTTGCGTTAGGTTCTCGCCGAGCGGTCTCACAAACACTAGCGTAAATTATATTGTTGAAAATATCCCATTTAATTTTGCGTGACAGTGTTAGTGAAATGCACCGTATGCGTACACGTCCGCAGAAAGGCTTACTGGAAGTGGTGCATGAACCTAGGAGCGGGACAACGGCCAATCTTGGAACATTCAATTTGCATGATTTTACAAAAAAAATCATAACTTCGACAATTTCCAACCGATTTCATCCATTAAAGGCTCATTTTCTCCAGTTTTAAATGGACTTTAAGAATAAATTATGGAATGATTTTTTGAATCTTTTTATCCCATTAAAAATGTTGATTAAAACAAGATTTTTATGGAAAATTCGCAGGAAAAATAAAAAAAATGCTGTAAATTTTTAAATGACTTCAAAATTAAATTTTTAATTAAGACATAATATTCTAGTGAACGATAGAAAATTTATTTAGCTTCACTTTCATAATAAAAGATTTAAAATTGGTGCACTAGTTCCAAAGATATTGACATTTTAGTAATCGTACTTTTGTCCAAAATTCAAAAAATCAAAATTTTTGTATATCTCAAAAATGGC